GTTGCCTGCCGTGGCCACTGAATCCGGAGCTGACTCAATTGAGGCAGCTAACAGCAGCCTATAGAAAAAAAAAACCACTTATTTGCGATCAATGTTTCTTTTAAAAAACAACTCATTTATTGGCACATAAATTGCTTACCTTCAAGTTTACCATTTGAAACGCGCAGTTCAAGAGTCTTGCTGCTATTCCAATTATAGAATATGTTGCTAACCCCACAAAGAAGCCTTCCACCCATTAGTGCTTCCTCTGCCCCTTCCTCCGGCTATCACCAGTCTGTTTTCCGACCCTGTGGCTTTGCCGAATTCTAGGTATTTTCCTGGGAGTGACATCGTAGAGCAAGTGGTCTGACCATCGTGTGTTTGAGGGTCACTGGGATAGCACTTGATCTTCATGCCAACCTCTCCTACACTGCATATAGTCACATCCTCTTCAGTAGCCGGTGGGCATTTGAGTTGTTCTCACTTCTGGACTAGTGTGAAAAGTGTTCTGTGAACATGAATATCATCTCCTGGACAATACTTCGAGGCAGCATTTTCTCTGAGCTCTCTCTAAGGAGCCCTGCGGATGCTGGGAGTTGGGTTCACATTGCTAACTGCAAAGTGGCCATTCGGAATCCACTAGTGGAACCTAGGAAGAGAGGTGTGGCAATCTCGTTCCAGAAAACCCCCGGCATTGGAAAGCCTGTGGGGCAGATCCCCTCGGCCCTACGGGACTGCTCTGAGTCTGATTCATTCCCTGGCAACGGATGCTGGAATTGGTGGGAGCTCTTAGGGAGACCTGGTCGTGCAGCACTTAAGCACTTGGCTTCTTGTCAAAGGTCAGAGGTTTAAGACCCCTAGCCACGTGGCTGGAGAGAAGACATGGCCATCTGTTTCCATCAAGACAACAGCCTGGGTAACTGTACGGGGCAGTTCTCGTCTGTCCCACAGGGTCCACAGGAGCCAGAGTCAACACGGGGGCACCGGCACCATCACACGGTCACGCTAGTGTAACATTTCGACTAATCGCCACCTGTTTTCCAGATGGACTGCACTGTGTACGTCCTCGCCCGCACTGTGTGAGGGTTCTAATTTCTCCACGTCCTCCTAACGCCTGTTACTGCCTCTTGCCAGTCACAGCTGGTGGGAGGGGCGTAAAATGCCACCGCACTGAATCCACAGTATTGGCCTGCATGTTGCCCTTGGGGGTCTAGCAGTTCTCTCAGAACTTGTTTTCTGAATCTTTGTGCTGCTGGCGATCTGGACAGCACGTAATGCAGCTGTATGCTGGACCACCTGCATGGCCGACCACATGGTCTCAGTGCCCACGCACATGCACTTGGTGTTGGAAAGGACTTTGGCACCGAGAACTCAGACTTGCACTTCCATTGTGCTAATGGAAACTGTTGTAGCTGCTGTTACGTAGAGAATGTAATAATGCAAAGCACGTCTTTCTGCCTAGAGATAGCCATATTCTATCAGGGAGTGCTTTAAGACAGACATGTTGAAGTTATTGACTAGAGAGAAACAGACAATTGAGTCGTCAGAGAATGGTGGGAATGCTAAATGCTGAATAACTTTCTCCACAGCAGTCCACCTGATCAAGATAAGTCACATTTTTGTTTGTTTAGCAGTTTTCTGATTTCAGCAAAACACTGTCCCTTGAGTAGAAGAGAGTTGCCTCAGAATCCCACAACCACGAAGGGAGAAGAGTCACTGGCCAAACATGTGCAAGATCCTGCCTAAAGTGGCGGAGGTCGCTGAGGCACCAGGGACCATGAACTGGGCAGAGGAGCCCCATCAAGATCATGATCATGAGCCACAGCAGAGGATCTCTGCTGAGACCCTGAAGCAGAGCTGCCGGGCTTCCTGGCCCAGGGAAGCAGAGACCACAGGACCATGTGGCTGAGAGGCTGAGGGTCCGAGAGACATACCTGCCAGTCTGACTGAGGAGACGCTGCAGACCAAAGGAGCATATCATAATCATTTTGTACACTGTCAGCTTCCCTAATAAAGTCAATAATCACAGAACAACAGAGAGAAGGAAACCGATAATTGAGTAATCCAGGTACTGTGGAATGGTAAATGCCAAAGAACTTTCTCTACAGCAAGCCACCTTTTCAAAATAAGTCACATTTTTGGCTAGCAGTTATTTGATGTCTATTAGGTGAAATTGGAGGGGTTTCCCTTCCTTTTTTCTTAATTTTGTTGGATAGTCTCCGCAGGCTGCTGTATCGAAATTTGAAACAAAATAAATTAGGTGGCTTTTATGAACAAAGAAAGTGTTGTCTAACAGGTTTGGAGGCTGCAAGGCTGAATTCAGGGTATTGGCCAGACTGCTGCGCCCTCTCGGGAGATCCCTTCTTGTGTTTCCCAGCTTCTGGCAGCTCCCCGTTTCCTTGTCTTGTAGCTGCAGTGCAGCTCTGTGACCACATCGCTTTCCCTGTACGTCTCGCTCGTGCCGTCAGTGGAGTCGAAGCTGCTCTGCTCGAGCGTGCCCGCATGTTAATTCATACCATCTTCAGAGACATGTCTAAACAAGGTCACACTCGCAGACACTCAGCCCACTGCCACGAAGTCGATTCTGACACCTAGCCACGCCTCCGGGGCTGGCATTCAAACATAGCTTTGGGGGATACATGATTCAACGCCTAGCATTGGTGTTTACATCTAAATGTACTTTCATTATGACTATAATTAATAATATAATTACACTTATACATTTTCATTTGTCGTGTATCTACATTTAAGTAACTTTATAGTAGAAATAATTAAAGTCAACATTTAGGATGCAGGGACATTTTTTCTTTCTTTTAAAAAGAACCCACTGTAGAATCGGTTTCCTTTGAGATTTGAAGTTGTCATTTTCACTTATTCAAAGCCGAGTGTGTGATTTTTTTCGATTATTGGCACTAAAATCAACCCCACCCCAAAATAAAGGAGCTAACGTTCTTTATTTTCAGATGCACTTGCGCACATTTGGCAGCACTGTGTTTCCTGTTCGCTGATCACTCTTCGTTTCGCAGTTTATCGATATGCGTCTTCAAGGCTGCAGACTGTGCTTGGCTCTTCTGCTCATCTCAGTTCGTGCTGACTTTATGGATGACGGTGTAGAAACGGAAGAGTTTGATGAAAATTCAGAAGAGATTGATATTGATGAAGATGAAATTTCCTCAGAGGTAAAGTTTTTGAGAAATGAGCTCTAAATAAATCATTCCTTTACGCGACACATAGGCATGGGTGACTCCTTCTTGGTCATTCCAGTGCCAATGGGTTTCACTTTCTAAGTAGAGAGAGAAGCATTGCTTTCCCCCAACTATCTTGTTATTCTATTTTCTAGAGTATACACCCCCCCTGCCCCCGCCAAAAGCCCAAACCAGACCCAGTGCCATGGCGTTGACGCTGACTCATACTGACTCCACAGGACAGGCTAGAACCACCCAGTGAGTTTCCAAGACTGTCACTCTCCACAGAAGTATAGAGATTCTTACTTTTGTGCATTCGCCTCAAAAACAAACAGACAAACAAACACCCAGCCAAACTCACTGCTATGGAATTGATTCCAACTTACAGTGACCGTAGAGGGAAGAGTGAAACTTCCCCGATGGGATTCCAAGACTACAACTCTTTACGGAAACAGAAAGCCTCATCTTTCTCCCAAGGGGCAACTTGGGGTTTTGAACTGCTGACTTTGCTGAGCCACTGTGCTACCAGGGCTGCCAGCACAGGTTTTTGTTTTTAATCATTTTATTGGGAGCTCTTACAGGTCTAACAACCCATAATTCAATTGGATGGAGCACAGTTATACAAGTATACAGTCATCATTGCTATCAGTTCTCCCTTCCCTCTCTTCCTGTACCCTCAGGGAATCGTTACTCCCATTACTATTTCTAAAGGGTTTATCTATCTTGGATCTCATGCATCGAACTTGATTATACAAATGAACATACACAGGTCTCACAGATTAATGAGGTAAAACTAAGACCATAATAGTAAGGGGATGAAATAATAAAGAAATAGAGGATAGTTATGTGTTTCATCAGTGCTGTACTACACCCTGGATATATCATCCCTTCTAGCCAGCACAGTTTTATTACCCAATAAATATTTGAAACTTTATATTGTCCACTTAGGAGTGCATCACTGATTAAGACCAATTGTCATCCCGTCAACATGTGCCAAAGCTTTCAGAGTTTGCTGGTTTTTAAGAAGCATACAGCTAGGCCTTTATTTCAAGGCATTTTTTCGGTGGACTTGAACTTCCAGTCTTTCCATTAGCAGCCAAACATGGTACTCATTTGAACCAGCGACAGGCTCCTCATCACTGGCCAAAGGTGCTTCAGCTGAGAGAGAGGTTTTCAATCTTGGGACCCTGCCAGCTGTTTCAGATGAAAGAAAAGATGACATCATTGTGTCTCTGCTAGAAGGAAAGTGAGTAGTGTCTGTATTTCTCTGAGGAAAGAATGTGCTAACAAGAAAGTAAGCCCTGAAAGGCATGGATTCTGTGACTAGACATCTTTGTACATTAGTACTGCCTCCAAAGAGTCTTCTAGTAACAGAATTTCAGTAATTAGCGATGGAGCCCTGGTGATGTAGGGAGCTATACGCTGAGTTGCTAAACTACAAGGTCAGTGGTTTGAAACCCACCAGGCACTGTGAAGGATAAAGATGAGGCCGTCTGCTTCTGTAAAGATTCAAAGTCACAGAAACAAAAAAGGGCAAGTCTACCCTGTCCTATAGTCGCCATGAGTCAGAATTGACCTGATAGCAGTGGGTTTGTTTGTTTCAGTTTTGGAAATTACTACATCCTGGTGGTCCTAGGAGCCTTGCTGTAGTAGTGGGTTACACATTGACTGCTAACCACAAGGCCAACAGTTTGAATCTACTAGTGGCCCCGAGGGAGAAAGATGAGGCTTTCTGCTTCTGCAAGAATTTACAGGCTTGCAAATCATAAGGGGGCAATTCTGCCCTGTCCTGCGCAGTGACAGTGAGTCAGAGTGGACTCGATTTTAGCGAGTGAGTGAGTGAGCGAGCGCGTGCGCGAATGAGTGAGTGCGTGAGTGAGTGGATGAGTGAGTGAGTGAATGAGTGAGTGAGTAGTAGTCTAAGCTACACGGAGCCCACTGACAAAAACCCAAGGTGCCAGGAAGTGCTGGAATACCATTTGAGATGATTCAACAAGTAGATGCAACGGTGGAGCCCTTGCCCGTCTCTGCCGAGAAATGTTTGAGACAGGTGTCTTGAAGAGATCCATATTTGTGTCAGTTCCAAAGAAAGAGATTCGACAGAATGTGGAAACGATCAGACAGTCTCGTTAATATCCGAACATCTCAGCGTGCTCATGCAGTATCTGCACACAGATCAAAACGCAGTCATTCAAACAGAATAAGGGGCTGGTGCAGGGGCTGATACAGGAAAGCGGTGCACGGTGGCTGTGTGCTTTCAGACTGTCTGCTGATCCAGTGATCCGATGAACTAACAGCTCGCTGCTGCCCAGTCATCTCTGACCGACAGCAACCCGACAGGAACCCTGGCTGTTTCTGAGACGTTGAATCTTTCCAGGAGGAGAAGCCTCATCCTTCTCCCCCAGAGTGGCTGCGGGTTCAAGTTGGCAGTGTGGTTAGCCGGCCAACGTGTAACCTACCACGCTGCCGGGGCACCATACAGATAACACAACAAAAGGCTGACTCAGGCAGAATTCAGATCGATCTGACAACATAGGGAAACAAATCCATTCACCATTACTTCAGCTTGTCATTCAGTTATCTTTGAGTCTCTTCAGCGACCTTGTTGACCTGTGCTGTGCCGGACACAGTACAATGTCGTGGTTGTGTATCTGAACATCGGAGCCTGACAACCTGGGATCCTAGCCAAGCCCCCCAATTACCTCCCTGTGTGGCGATGGGCAAGTGACTTTGCCTCCCTGACCGTTGGATGGCGTGTGAAAGGCAGGGTAACAGGTGAGGATGAAAGCAATCCCAATAGCAGCCCCAGGACCGTCACCACGCCTCCACCGTTAGAGCAGCGAGCAGTTACATGGTGCTTACAACTGCCCTTTGCACATAAAAGGGCTCAAGGGATATTAGCTGCTGCTGCTTCCAAATACTGTCACAACCTTCCTTATGGCCCAGAAGACTCAGCATTTCCCCCTCTTCCGGTTCCTGCTTTCCTCGTGTCCCTGAGCAGTCAGATTTCTGAGTGGGTTTAAACTAGCCTCATTGCCCATTAAGCTTTCTGTCTTGGCTGCGTTTTTCATGCTGTTTCCTTTGTCTCTTGTGATTTGCTCCTCAACTAATAGCCCCCTGTCAGAATCTTCGTGAGGCCCAGTCCAGTGTCTGGAGACATGGCTCATTACTGCCTCCAGGGCCTCCTGAGTTCGAAGGATCCGGGTTGCCTACATCTGCACGTAGAGACCCTTTCCCACGGCTGGACTTCCGCTAGTCTCTTGTCTCCCAGCACCACTAGGACGCAGGTTTCAGATCAGAGGCCACGCCCCCGACATGGCTGCATTGCCTAGACTTGCGTGGTATGCTAGGTTCTTAACCAGCGAGGCTAGTGAACTAAAATATTGATAAAGATGAATAATTGTGGATCTTTAAAAATCTGTTTTGTAGAGTAAATATAAGACACCGCATCCTATAGGAGAAGTATATTTTACAGAGACCTTTGATACTGGAAGGCTGGCTGGGTGAGTATACCTTCAACAAAAAGGTTTCCTCAATGTGATTAGCTGTGAAAGTACTGATTGGCGGCCCGTGAGGCTTCCCTCTACTGCTGAACCGTGAAACATTGAAAAGCACTACTTGCTGACATTTCACGGATTCTTGTTGATAGAAATGTTTAATTCAAATAGTTTTTCATTAGTACAAAGAAAATATACAAGTAAAATCTGAATCTCAAGGGAAAAACAGTACTCAGTCTCTAAGACAGATATTGCTGGTACCAATCTAATGTGACGTGGCAATATCTTGTGCTACATAGTGGTGAAAATAATGGCATTTACTCTCGACTGCTCGTTACGCCACGCACTGTCATGAGTAGATAGGTAAGTACTACCTTTATCCCTATTTTGTAGAGGGGGAAACTGAGGCTTGGTGTCCCTTGTCTGTGATCAAACAGCTTGCAATATGAAGGCTCCAAATTCGGTTTCATGCCAACCCTGTAGCCTTTAAGTAATACTTTGTTTTTGGAAGAACCGTGGACGTGCTGGGTGGTCTTTTGTCGTATTTCCAATGTGTATTGGATGGATAAGTTCCTAGCTGTTTTTAATCCAAGCATTTGATTTCCACTCTCTTTACAGGTGGGTCTTATCCAAGGCAAAGAAAGATGATATCGATGAGGAGATTTCTATATATGATGGTAAGCTGAGTTTCAATATGAGATAGAACCAGGATGATTCAGAATTCCCTACGCTCTGAGATGACATGCATCCACTCAGTGGTCCTGGGCATGAAATCCCATTCTGCTCCCCCATAGAATGCTCTGACTTTTAGCTTGCCTCCTCGCTCATATTTCTGGAGTTCCCCAGGTACTGCACATGTCACCACCCTCCACTTTTCTAAATCTACACAATTTCCAGGCCACTGTGGTTAGCCTCCTGAATTTCCTAAATCAGTACTTCCCAGGTGACTTGCTGGCACCAGTAGAACAAGTTATAACTTGCGTTTCCTCATGGCTTGGGAACTTATAACTTGCAGCAAGGTTTTCCTCATGGCTTCAGAACGGTCAAAGACAAGCACAAGACAGACTCATATAGGACACGTGCCTGTGCTTGGAGCACACAGCTCCTGGGCTACATGCATTACCACAGGTCTGTGATCGTTTCATTGAGCTGACTACACGTGGTAAGTTATACCCAGAGCAAGAGGCACAACTAAGCAGAATTCCTAGCTTTAAAATATCTATGCTTAGGTGATTTGACATTGTTTTCTGTTCCCTCAAGAAATACTTGCTTTACATTGGTGCTTTAGAAAAAAAAATGCATCGATGGAGAATCTCTAAAATTAAGACATGGTCTCTCTAACAGGTGAATTTAAGTCTCTATTTCTTGCTGGACAGGAATGACTTTTAGAATTTAAATGAATATTTTCCCCTCTAGCTTAACGAGCATACAAACATCAAACATCTTGTCATCCAGGTTTGGTCTGTCAGTTTAAATATCCAAGTAAGTAATTTTCCTGCAGCTTAAATTTTCTGGGATCTCTGACTGAAGTGTTCATTTCTTTGCAACAACTGACTCTACTTAACTCCCACTTTCTGAAAACGGTGTTTGGGGATTTTGCCATCAGCAGTGTTGAAAGTGGATACTTGAAAGAAATCGAGATTTGAAGTGGGTTTCACAGTAATTAACCATTATTTCTCTCAAGTACTGCCTGTGTAAACTCTCACGACTAGATTTGTAGGAGTAACCTAATCGGGTTGGGATCCCAAAAAACTAGTTACATTTTGTGCTGGGATACAGGTAGTGTTTTGGGAGTTAATTATTTATGTTTTCAGATGGTTATTACCAAACATTTAAACCTTATATTTTAAATGTAAGTGACCAACTTTCAGAATAGCTTGTAAAATAATGTAGCTGTTATTTAGAGAGTCACATATTTTTCAAAACGTTGTTTATAACAGGATTTATATAACCTGGTTTTGTGTATAACTTAGGTAAAAATGATCTGGTTGATCGAGAATTATGAAGTCAGAAACTGTTTGCCAGTGGGGATCATTATTTTGTCACAAGGTTTCAAAGCTAAAAGTACTAGATGGTATCTGTACACAGATTGGCTTACATCATTGATGAGAAAAGACATCATAGTTTTAAAAATCCTTTAGTATTGATAGTCCCCCAAATCCACAAGATACAATTATTTACTGAAAAAGGTGGGGTGATTTATTGTTTGTTTTCTTTTGTTTTGGGTGAAACCAGAGGTGCGTCCTGATCATCTAGTGCAGTGGGTACACGAGAGAAGGGCAGGCGGATACATGTGTTATTGTAGAAAAGGGCAGTACAAATCAAAGGTGAAAGGAGGGTGTATTAGTCTGGGTACTTTGGAGAAACAAATCCACAGCGACTCATGTATAAGAGAGAGTTTTATGTAAAGAAAATGTGCATCATGAAAACATCCCAACCCAATGCTGCCCAAGCCCACAAGTCCAACATTAACCCATTAACCCAACACCAGTCCACAAAGTCCTCCACCTCACAAAACAGAGGCAATGATGCCGACTGCAGGAGGAAAGCTGAGTCAGTGAACGAACAAGCATCTCAGCACTAGCAGGGGTCTCCACACGGCTGCTCCAGCACCCAGGGCTGCATCGGGATAGGTCCATGCGGCTTCTCCTTGGGGATGTCTTGTAGGAAGTCAATCTTGCAAGCTGAAGCAGGGAACTGCTAAGGCAGCTGCACCCGGTGCAACCATCACAAAACAAGAGACCCGAGAACTAGAAAGGCAAGGCTCACCACCCATTTATCCCTCCGCCTTTCAATTAGCCCCACATGTGATTATCGGCCAGGCTGGCACAATTAACTAACTCAGGGGAATCTTGGAAACATCTAAAAACGCAGTTTAAAAGCTAGGTACAGTGCAGTGATGGGCACACCCGTAGAACACTCTGAGTCATCACCCTCGATGCCCAAGCCCAACATAGGACTCGGTGGCTAACTGCAGCCCACCTGGCTTTCCGTCGTGCGCACCCCGTGATCCCCTTTCAGCCCAGTAAAGGCCCAACTCCGCTCGGCCCTGGATAGGTCAGTGCTTACTCTGTTCTTCACTGTCTCCTGGTCTAAGGTTCTGAGCCGATTTGCTTAGTCTGGGACGGGTGATTGCAAGGTATATAAATTGAGCTTACAGTTTCAAAAACCAAATTCAATTTCTATAACGGCTCCAGCAAAGTAAGTCAAGTAGTTAAGGAACACCATGTATTTCCCAAGACATTTCTGGGGTCATGTGCTCCTGGTAGGGAGTCTCGTGTGCAGTTTTAAAGTCTCTCATTTTAAAACTACAATGTTACAAGACCTTCTGAGACAAACCACATTTTTACAATACCATTCATCAGAGCCGCTCAGAGAAGACAAAATACACCAGGCTTAGAAATGCTTTTCACCGGGTCTGGTGTGTGTTTTCGCTACATATTTTCTAGATTCTAGCCAATAACATAAAACCCTTCCTGGATGGGACAAGGGGGAAAGCGCAGTGTGCTTGCCGTCGCCAGATACCTCGTTCCTTGCCATGAATTTTTGTTTTACCCGAATTAGCCTTCACGGGGAAAGCAATTGTTTACCACTGAAAACAATCCTCAAATCAGTGGCGGGGCGGCTGGGGGCAGCATTCGTCCCCTCGTGTCATTTGATCTTGCATTTCAGGAAGGTGGGAACTAGAAGAGCTGAAAGAAAACCAGGTGCACGGGGACCGCGGCCTGGTGCTGAAGTCGCGAGCCAAGCATCACGCCATCTCTGCCACCTTGGCAAAGCCCTTCGTCTTCGCGGACAAACCTCTGATCGTTCAGTAAGTGGGCCCCGTGTCCGAGTGCCCGCTCTGACTTTTGTGTTACTCTTCTGAACGGGCTCTGTCTGGGGGTAGGGAGGATAACAATTCAGTGCCTTTCTCTCGGGGCACTCGCTTAAGTACACCGATCCCAACTGGCACGCAGCGCAGGTTGTGGGAAAACGGCGTCTTGGAGATAGACGACTGCAGACATTGACGGCCATGAACGAGACACACGCCCCGCCCCTCCCCAAACACACACACTGCCATCAAGGCAATTCTGATTCACAGTCCTTAGGGTGTACGACAATGGCCATGTTATTTGAACTCTTTTCTTAAAATGACTCGCTCTTAATCAGCCTGTATGTTCTTGTAGAACCCCACCGTTAAACTAGGTATGAGAGTCAAAGGCAGCAAACTTATTGTGAAAGGGAAATGCACGAATAAATGCGTTTCTTTCCATCATTGAACCTGTGTAGAGTGCAGAACTCGCCAGGCCCCAGATTGACAGAGGCTAGTTTTATTTTGACGTTGCTTAAATTTCCACTGTCACGAAACCAGGCCTTCACTCCTAGTGTCTCTTACAAACATTACTTTAAAACCCAAAGAGATCTACAAATTAAATACCAACCCACAGCATTCACGTTTGCAACAATACAAGAAAATGTGCTACTGTTACTCTCTACCTGGTGTCAACGTTTTAGCTGCCCAGAGTTCACTGCGGCATAGAGGAGAAAGCCATGAACTTGAAACCCTGTTGGTCCCAACCCCTTCGTCTCCTAATTAGCATCTTTGAGCTCGTTGCACTGTAGAGATTTTTCTATTTGGCGTCATTGGTGTAATTCTTCAGCTGTGATTCTGTGGCTTCATCAATATTAAGCCATTTCCATGTATTTTAAAAAAAATAAGTAGTAACAAAGAGTAGGTGACCATTACTAAGGAGCTCTCGTGGCCTAGTGAGTTATGCTGCTAGTCATAAGGGTCAAGGCCACCAGCCACGCTCAGGCCTCTGTCCCCACGCAGATTTGCAGCCTTAGAAACACAGAGGGCAGTTCTCCTCTGCCCCTTCCCATAGGGTCCCTGTGAGTCGGAACCGACTCGATGGTAGTGAGTTTTCTTTTTGGAAGCTGTGCTAGGCAGATGACAGCATTGATTTTACTTAAATTTGTTTATGTGACCATTATGTAAACACAATATTGTTGTAGTTACTCACCGGCCTAATGTCTGAGCATGTTATCATGTACTGATACACGGGTTTTGGAGTTTTGTCTGCATTTTAAAAAAAATTTGAAAACACTCTTACTACTCTTTTGAAACTTAAGTGAAAATCAAACCACTTTGTATTTTGATTCTGCGAGTTAAAGG